TTAAAATAGTTACCAATCCGGTTATCATCAGTAAACAATTAGTAGAACTTCGCATAGCACACACTTTTCCAAGCATTAAATCTAACCTTCGCATAATAATTTTCCTGAAAAAATTTTTGAAATAAGTCAATTGCCGTCTTTTAATTTTAGTTTTTTTTTTCAATTTAATTTAATTTTCATCGCGGTGAGGATTTTTTTTTGGCACACGAACCTAAAAAAATCAAGCCAAGCGTCCACTAATTGAACAATTTTTGGACGGTGGGGAATAGGCAAATAACATTGGAAGTTGCAATGATGACGTTACGATGACTTGTAATATTTATTTCAAGCCTAGGTCTTCATGATTTGGGGTAAAAGAAGCATTTCTTACAATGAATTTTCTGAGAATTTGAGGGAATTCCCCTATCATATCAAAGGGCGGCCCGGCAATCAATCTTGCACTGGTACCATTTTTGCACCTAACTACGCCGCTTCAGAGTTGTTATTGTTAGTTAAATAGGTGTTAGAAGACACACAAAACACATCAATCAAATTTATCTGATTTCATCTCACAGCCCTTTTACTCCGTCTATCAATGCGATATAGACAAGATATAAATCTTGTAAAGAATTTCATATTACATTTATAAATCTTTATAACATATATAAAAATCAGATTTTTCTTAACAACTGAAATCTTGCCGGGAATGGGGCTTTAACTTTACAACGCCGAAACTATTTATTCCGAAAGTACTTTCATTAGCATTTGAACAGATTCAATCTAGAATCTTCATGTCGTAAAATCAAGACATGTTTCAGGTACTATTTTTATATTTATTCTTTCTTTCGACTGGATAGCATTTTAAGTAGCGCAGCACTGCTTTTCAAAATGATCCATTTTTTTTTAACAAAGTTTAAGAATATAAATAGAAGTAAGAAATAAACAGAACAAAAAAGTATCAAAAAATAAAGAGAAAAGAAAAAAAACAACAAAAATCTCAAATTGAAAATAACCTTATAATAGAAATTCAATTTAAAGTAAATTAGCACAAATTATATTTTTTAACTTGACTATGATCATATTAGTTGCATTTTTTCTGATTGATAAATTATTACTGATTGGTAGGTTATTCCAATGTTTGGCTGATTGGTGTTGAAAGGTTCAATTTCCTTGAGTACTTTCCCAGTTTGGATATTTTCCCACTATGAAAGTATTTTACCAGTTTGAAAGGTACTAATACATTTTTTCTTTTTCTTTTTTCATACAGTAGATCGTAAAATATATATTTATGACGAGAACTGACCTACTTTAGAAAATTAGAGTAATGTATACATACTTTGGGGAAATTTGCAGACAGGGGGTCTTTAAAAGGACTTGAAGCAATCTTTGTAAATGTATAGTATTTCCATTTAACTAAAATAAATTTACCAAATATTCTTCTTTTTCCATTTCGTACAATTCCACTAAAATACTGTTTGCCATCATGTGTTCTATGCCAGTTTTCCTCAAACATCTTTCCAAGCACACCCTCTGTTGACACCATTCACTTGAAATAAATGTAAATTCTTTAATATCAATGTCATTATAATAGTAAACAATTAGTAGAGCTCCGCATAGCACACACTTTTTTCAAGCATTAAAACTAACCTTTGCATAATAATTTTCCTGAAAAAAATTTTTGAAATAAGTCAATTGCCGTTTTTTAATTTTAGTTTTTTTTTTTTTTTTTCAATTTAATTTAATTTTCATCGCGGTGCGCGATGTCTTCGCGATGACAAAAAAATGAGGATTTTTTTTTTGGCACACGAACCTAAAAAAAATCAAGCCAAGCGTCCACTAATTCAAAAAATTTTGGACTGTGGGGAATAGGCAAATAACATTGGAAGTTGCAATGATGACGTTACGATGACTTGTAATATTTATTTCAAGCCTAGGTCTTTATGATTTGGGGGTAAAAGAAGCATTTCTTACAATGAATTTTCTGAGAATTTGAGGGAATTCCCCTATCATATCAAAGGGCGGCCCGGCAATCAATCTTGCACTGGTACCATTTTTGCACCTTTAGCTCACGGTAAATACGTGTAACGGAACTACTCCGGAAGAAAATTTGAACTTATCCCATGGTCAACAACCCATTCTTTCTTTACTTGCTACTGCTGCTATAACCGGCCCACGTACACACAGCGCGGCACGGTGGAACGATAATGTAGCTCAATAATTTATAATGGCTGCTTAAAAATCTGTACGTAGGCTAGTTTATTTCTCCAAATAATGGTAAATCTACAAATCAATCGCTTAGCTTAGCTATATGCTACTAAATTTAGACTTCGTCGTGCATTTGTGAGGAGGTGAAGGAGAGCTGCAACCTCGCCTGGGCCGTTAAACCTATTGAATTTGGCGCTAGGTTGTGGACAAAACTTTTGGAAAAACAATTAAGGTTGATTTATCATCGCCTCCGGCTCCATGGTCATTCCATACACGGTATTCTACCCAGCAATTTGGTGGTCAAAATTGTCGCGGATAATCCAGATGGAAAGGTAATTAGACAGTGTCCGAGCGGTTTTAGAAAGTGTGTACCGGTGAATTAACTGGTGAATCGCACGGATATTTTTTCGCTCGAACGGGCCCTTAGTTAAATAGGTGATAGAAGACACACAAAACACATCAATCAAATTTATCTGATTTCATCTCACAGCCCTTTTACTCCGTCTATCAATGCGATATAGACAAGATATAAATCTTGTAAAGATTTTTGGAAGACCTTAAGAGGGCAAAGTAGGAAAAATATAGATACGGATTGTATTAAAATTCCTGGATCAGAGGAAGTGGTTACTGAAAAGGACAAGATTAGTTCAACAGTGAAAGAATATTGGCAGAAACTTGGTTCAAATAATATGGATATTAATTATTGTAATGGATATCGCACAATTGGTTTTATAAAACAAATTAGAAATGATCTTTCTAAAGAGTATCCTTGTTTAGATGATATTGATCAACATTTCTTATATGATATTGTACTTGATATTGATATTGTTGAAGATGCAACTACCCTTGCTAAAAATAATAAAGCCCCTGGCCTGGATAGAATAACAAATGAACTGATAAAAAATGGTGATCAATGTTTTACTCTTTCCCTACTTAACTTATTTCAAAAATACATTGAACTTGAGCAATTTCCTCAAGAATTGAACAGAGGTATTATTGTACCAATATTTAAAAAGGGTGATGGTAAAGATCTAAACAACTATAGGGGTATTACTTTAACTTCATGCGTTTCTAAAATCTTCAACAGAATCATATCAAAACATATATCCAACTATTTAGAGAATAGGAATGTTCTATCAGAAATACAAGGGGGTTTTCGTTCATCACACAGATGCGAAGACCATACATTTACATTAAAAAGTGTAGCTGCCTGTCGTTTGAAAGAAAATAAAACAACTCACATTGCCTTTTTAGATTTTCGGAAGGCCTTTGACAGTGTTTGGAGAGACGGGTTGTCAGGCATTAGAGGTAAAGCTTGGAGACAGATAGACAGGTTATATTGCTAATAACGAAACTGAAATGAAAAAGATGTTATCTTTGCAAAAGAGTGGAAACTTAATTTTAATTTTGACAAATCAAATATATTAGTAATTGGTAAACGTATAAACAGGGATAAACACTGGAAACTAGGAGATAGCTACATAATGGAGGTCGAATCATATAAATATCTTGGAGTAATTATTTCCAGAAATTTAAACGATCATAAGGAATTTGAAAATGTTTTAAAGAAAGGCAATAGGTTAGTTGCCTACATTAAATCTCTTATAGATAATTTCGATAATTTTAATAGGGTTTATTACGGGGATGTACTATAGAGGACAATTGCCCTCCCTTCAATTAACTATGGAACTGATGTTTGGTGTAGCGTAAATAAATCAGACATTGATAGATTAGAAAAACTTCAATTACAAATGGCACGATATATCTTAAAAGCCCCTTTGAATACGCCCCAATCTACATTATATGGGGAACTTGGATGGATACAGATAAAAACTATGCATGACACTTCAAGAGTTCAATTTTTTAATCGTTTAATTAGGATGGATCCGTATCGTTGGCCAACAATACTCCTAAATGCAACAAATCAGTTTCAATGTGATCCAAATAACTTCCGTTTCAAATTTGTAAAATGTATTTCTGATCTCTTTATTAAATGCGAATCTGAAGACCTTCTAGTACAATTATCTAATAATCAGGGCATCTACAATTACTGGGTTAATCCATTATTTTAAAAAAAAGTAAATGAAATAAACAATGAAAACTGGAAAGAGGATATTGAAAGTAAGGCCTCCCTCACCGACTATTCATTACTTAAAGATACAATTAAATTAGAAAATTATCTATTAGATAAATTGGATTTTGAAGGTGTATCATTGAAATCATTGAAACTTCGCTCCAATACATTGCCCCTCGATAGTAGAGTTTCTAGATGGTCTGAAGACAAGAATGGCTTATGTACTCTTTGCAATACAAATAATGAAGAAGACATAAGACACTTCTTATTCTCTCGTCCCGCTCTCCTAAACATACGTTTAGAGGAGTTAAATAAACTTGAATATAAATTAAGTAGCCATAACATCGATGTTTGGGATCAATTTTTAAGTGCTAATATTGATATTAAATTAAGCTACGTCCTAGGCTCCACTACTCTTTCCATGACAAAAGAAGTAGAGAAATACTTTGATGAATGTTGTAAAAGTTATGGAAAACGAGCGTGGAGAAAAAGATCTGAATTGAATTTTAATTCACTTTGAACGCACCAAATGATTTTGAGTGCCACCGATCTAAAGGTGTATGTTCTAATAAATGATTGATTGATTGATAACGAAAACACTTATCTGTTGCCACCCGCGGTCAGCAGTGGGAGCAGGCAAGCGAATCATTGGAAGCGAGACATTCTTTACTGAAAGCCAACTCTTGTGAACTTTGCGCGATTCGCTTCGCTTGCCGCGTGACCCTCGACGCTTTTGCTTGACAAGTGTAGTGGGAACCGGCCTTTACCGCTGGGCCACTCGACTCGGCTTGACTGACCGGGGAAGGGGGCCTGACCCCCCTCCCTCTGGATCCGCCACTCTGAAAATGTCAAACAGTGTTAGAGTTGGTACTGAGCAGGTACCAGTATTGAGAAGATCTCAGAGTGTTAGAAAACCACCAGTAAGGCTAGAATTTATGATGTTCACAATGTGTTTGAATGTTTTTGTTTATTTGTTTGAGATTCTGGGAAAATAGATAGGCCTAATGTGTTTATTGTGTTGATTTCGCGTTCTTTTAAAACTTAGAGAAAAAACAGTAGTGTAGAAGTATAATATACAACAGCTGGCTAGTACAAGCTTGGGGTCATAGCACTATTGAGGTCATAGACTGCATAAAAACACGAGGTTTCGCCATCTTGATGCCTTGACATTCGTATATTGTTGTACAGCACGAATCCCAAAGTATTAACAAATATACTGTATTCGCGCGAGGGGGCGTTTACGGAAGTCGGAAAATCGAGGTGCTCTTATGGGAACTTATTAAATTCAAGGGGAACTTTTACGCCGCATTAACGAATTTGATGGCGCGGCGGAAAAGATCGTCCAGAAAACATGGCTCATGACAAGAATGCTGTGAATATTTGCATAACAGCAGAATAACAGATGCAATTAGTAGTGGTGGTTACCTTGTTGGCCATCGGCCGATTTATTTTAGCAGGAGGATGGCAGTGCAGGTTTTCTTGAATACTCAGATGAGATGTGCTAAAGGTGCAAATTGTCGGAAAAAGGAAAAGAGGAGTCTATAGAACTAGACCGAGACAAATATGTAAGAAGAGGAAAGTTGGAAATATACTGTCTGTCCAGGGATCGGAGTTCTCATCTGTCCAAGAGAAATATTCTTAATTTGATATTGACCTAAAGGAATTTGATACCACTCTGCAGCTCCAATGCCAACTATCACAATCTCAGGATTGATTGGATTATTAACTTAAAAAAGAAAATCTTATGATATATTCAAATTAGGATGGCCCTCATTCAAATAGGGTGCTTAAGCAAATTTTAATTTTAGACGGGGTGCAGCTTATTCGAGAGGGGCGCTTATTCGCGCGAGTACGGTACTCCTTTTCATGACTTTCAACATTAATTAGTTATGATTAAAATTTCAATATTTACTGAGAATGGTTTTTTTTTCGCAATGCTGTATTTGAAAAATATAACTGTACTATTGATATTATGGTAATTTCCAAAATAAAATTTAAAAAATCTTATCGTAATTAGGACAAAAAATAGGACCATTTGACCAAACTTGCAATACAAATGTTTGTGCATTTCTGTCGAAGTTTAAAACTACAGTTAGTCCCTCATCCAACCATAGCAGAGAAGGTGCCAGTATTTTTATTTATTTATCTATTTATGTTTTTTTTTCTTCAAACGAAAATATACAGTAGGCCTATTTGAATGTGTAATTAAATTGATTTGCCAAAATAAAATAAAAACCATGGTCTGGTCCAACATTGGCTATCACCATTCATCACCATCGTCATTGTTATTTAATCAACAAGAAGTTTGTCATATCTTCATCCTAATCATGTTCGTCATTGCAGGGCACTACAACCTGTATAATAGGTCCTGTTTTTAATATATTTACTAATGCTATTATATTATATATTTTAAGGGTTTGTACATTTGGAGGAGCTTCGAAATTTGACAAGAAGTCTAAATTATGGCAAGTAATATGGCAGGTAAAATTTAAGTACACTACTGAATATACACCATTTAATTGTCTAATTAAGTAATAAGTTTAGTATGTTTAAACACTAATGAATAATTGAGTAATGACACAGTTGTCTTAATGTTTTTGCAGTTTATATCCTTGAATAATTCCAATCTAAATTTTCTGAAAGTTTAACAAATGATGCTGCTCCCAAAGATTGCCTTATAGTTTAGAGTCCCGTTCCGCAACCTTTTTAGCCCACAGCCAAGCACTCAGGCGCGACCCATCGGACCCGAAGGCCAAATTTATTACCTTAATGTTATGGAAAATGATTAAATGTGGTTCTGTTTGGGGGTTTTTTTTTTGTGTGTGTGTTTTTTCCAGTTTGAGTGACCAAGTCAATAAATTACGTCAGTCGTTTTATACATGCGAGGATAGCGGATATCAGACAAACTAAAGATACCAATTCATTCAAAATCGATAAAAACAATTCTTCATTTCACTCACAAAGTAAATTTAAACACCATACAAATTGAATTAATTTAACGTTGAATTTCTCATATAAACAGAATCACATAAGATATCAAATCATTAATAATTTACAGATTGAAAAAAAAAATCAATGATTAACAGAAATTTTACTACAAAATTGTTAAATTTGCTGCCAGAAATATATGCGTATAAAGTACACACTGACACATATGCCCCTTTTTCCTGCACATGTCTTTAGTATAATTTTGTAATTTGTCTTAGAAATTGTTTATGGCTCCAAAAACAAGAACTGGGCACACTGCCAGTGGATCAACTGTATGACATAATTTGTACTTTAGTTTTTATTCTAATGAATTGGTGCCGGCAGAGGGTCAGATCCTTGATAAGGGAAGGGCACTGATAAGTTTGGGGATGCGTAAATATTATATGATTACGTTATGCTGTGGAATTACTGTTGTTGTAGGCCTATCTTGTGTGTTAAGTATCTTTCATCCCAGTTTGAAAAAAAAAAAATTAGAAAAAAGGTATATGTAAATATTGTATAATTATTTCGAATAAAATTATTTCATAGGTCTTTATTTTTGTTCAGAGTGTGAAGACTATGTGGGTATTATTACTGCTGATAAAAAATGGGAGGAACAGCTGAGAAAAGATCTAAAGGACAAATATACTGGTACAATAAAAAGCCTATGCGATGGAAGTATTGGGGAATTGAAGGCTGAAAATTTGAGAAACCTTATGAAAGCTAGGAAAGTTATCGTTGGCTTTTCAGAAGACCAAAAGGATTTGGAGAGTTATACTGCATATTCAGTTCTTACTGAGATGTTGGAACAAAATGAACTTGACTCAAAAAAGTTGGTACCAGTTAAGATAACAACGAATTCTGTGATACCAGAAGTGTGTAACGAATTCATACCGGGAAATGCATATGAGGGCGACTTCATTGATAAACTGGTAGAAACATTAGGTAAATAGATTCACATTTTATGCGTACAGTATTTTTACATAGTTTGTCAACAAATACCCTAAAAAACGTTATATTGTTATATATCACTAAAAAATTGCATAGAGAGTGTTATGGCCCTTTTAGGTTATAGTTTGAAAAATATGTCTTGTTCTTTGATCCTACTGGTTAATTCCATATGTATAATGAGAAAACCTTAGGTCAAGGAGGCATAAAATAAAGGAACAACAAGTTACTGTACGAATCTTTGATCTATCATTCCGACCGCGCTGGTAACGAAGACAATTACCTAAGCCAATTAGATAAGAGACCGACAGTATGACGTAATTATTACTCACAGGTCATTTCGCAAAAGCGTCATCACTGCCCAACGCAAGCGGGGACAATCGATAAACAAGTTTAAAAATCACCTTTCCACAATATGAGACTACCTTAATCCTGCTTGTTATAACATTCTCCCCCTCCAATGAAGATCCTTTTTGTTCTTGTAACCCGTTTTGTGTTAAAATGACCCCATTGGAAATAAGTAATTACTATGACTTTATGGGTCATCCTTGGCTTGAGGTTGTTTTGTCTCTTTGTCGAATGTTGTTTCCAATTTTATGACGGAAATAATGTTATTGTTTTTATATGTAATGACCGACTTTTTTGTATTTTGATCTTGGATGCTTTTTTGATACGATTTTCATGTATTTTAGTTGTGTGTATATGTTGTACATAAAGCCGAATAAATCAAACAAACAAAAACAAACAACTGTCATACTTTCGTACACACAACTGTAACGTATTTTTGACTTTAAAGTAGAACCTATAACGTAAAATTATTAGACTGGGAATGGGATGTTGCAAAAAGTATTTTCCGTTTTTGTGTCCATTTGTTTATGAAATTATAATAAACAGCATCCGTTTTAGTATTTTTCAACCACATTCTTACGTTTTCTTTGTAATTTTTGATATCATGTTCCATAATTATTTATTAAGTACTCGTACACAGAGTTATACTGAAGACAGAGTTTTTCTTAATCTAGAGGCAACATAGAGAAACTTAGATAAATTAATTTATAGGTTATATAACTAAACAAACTTAAACTTACGGCGGTTCGGGTTAACCTAGCTGGAGACGACTCATCCTGATTTATAAGCAGAACAAATTTAAAAGAAATGGTATACATCATCTACTTTTCTAAGCAAAAATTGCACAAAAGGCGTTCTCCATTGCGGCTGTTAACATTAAGATTATGAGACTCTGTTCTGAACATTGTAATATATCGTCTGTATTATTGTAACTAGATTAATATAATACTGAGTATAAGAATAAGTTGGCTCACATAAAAACGCATACTTTGTGACAAAAGTTGTCATCTTTAATTATTTGAACATAATAATCTTTGAGTTTGTTCTCAGAACAAAACGCGTTGATATTTGATACACCTTGGTTAACAAACAATACCAAAACCGTGCTGAAAAAGAGTTTGTTTTACAATTACAGTATATTATAAATAATACTGGAAAGAAAGTGCAGTATATAATAATTGTGTCAAGTTGTATTTTTACACAAACAGGATACTGGATGTTATCCAACAGGAGGAAGCTCCTGCTAACCGTTAGCTGCCGTGTGAGACCATAGCATTAACGTTTTTTCACATAGTTTGGTTTCCTGACATTGTTTTTACAAATTTACATTCTTTTCGGTCATCTTATGGCCAATAGCAATGTCGTACGTGCGCATCAAACATAGGTATCTTTTTGCGGATTTGTGCCGGTATACAGTGAAAATATGCTAAAATCAGGCCTATTTCTAATCAGTTATAGCTCCTTAGGATGAAAGGTGACCCCCCAATTTTTATTACATATTCTGAAAGCACGTAAGTTGTAAATATGATTTTATAGATCATAATGGATGATCGGACATTGTAATGTCATCATATTGAAATCTGAATTCAAAGAAAGTGAATTTTAGCTATGACGTCATTTTTGATAATACGCATTTGAGCGTATCTAGCTTCTTCTTGATCGATCGAATTCCAACTTTGTGTATGTTATAGCTGAGACAATTCTCTTTCATATGTGTGACATCTTCTTACATTTTGATGACGTCATCATGGTAAAAAAAAATGTTTTTTCTGACCCCCTTCATCTTTCATTGCTCAAAATGTTGATGACCCCATAGTATATTAACCATTCGTCATTTCTGAATCATATTAAGTTAAGTCAGGGTTGAATGTCTTGTACCCTAATTTTCCATTCGCGCATTTGTGCGTACGCGTTCGCGTGCGTCAAAATTTATATATGCTTAAAATCATGAATATGTTTAATCAGTTATAGTTCCTGAGGATGAAAGGTGATCCCCAAATGTTTATTGCATATTCTGAAAGCACATGAGTTGTAGATATGATTTCATAGATCATTATGGCTGATCGAACATTATGACGTCATCATATTGCCATTTGAATTTTTTTAAACTGAATTTTTACTTATAACGTTCTTATTTTTAAACTCATTTGAACGTATCTCGCATATTCTTGTTCGATTGTCTCCCACCTGTAAGTATGTTCTAGCTCCCTTTATTTTTCATTTTGATCACGTCATCATGGTCAAAAAGAATGAATTTTTGGAGCCCTCTTATCTCTCTTTCTTAAAAGATGTATATAAATAGAATATGGAGGGCGGCAGACTGCATTTCGACGCTATCAGACAGATAACTTGACAAGATTTAATTTGGTGTGCCATTACCGTCCACGCACACCTTGTGACTTGCGCGTGCGTTAAAATTTGAACATTTTCAATATCACTTTTCAGATAATTTAAAGAACGTTTCAGGGGCCGGATTTATCAAACTAAAAATCAGCTTAAATTCGTCTTAAGTTATTTTTAAGTCCAATTTACCAATATGGCTTAACTTTAAAATGGCTTTAACTTATAAGGTCGATTGTACGCATGCGCTATCTATGACGACTTTTACATAAAGATTTTGCTAATATGGTTTGATAAATCATCTAAAGATATTTGATTAGGGTCATCTTATGTTTTTTTTTTTTTTTTAACTTAAGACATTTGCTAACCTGCGATTGGTAAATCCCGGGCCAGGTCATTTTCAGCATTCCAAAACTTTCAATAATTTGCGCGCCGTACGTTCATTTCCACGCGCACAGCACGCAATGAAGCTAGAAATTACGTTTTGCTACATATTTTGGGTTCCAGACACTGTATTCATATCAGGAGTCAACTCTTTGTGCCATTACTGTGCTCACGGGCGTCAAGACGTGCGCGTACGCATATGTAAATATTTTAAAATGCTCAAAATTTCTCTTTTGTTAAAAACTAATTACAGCATATTTTAGTATATAAAACTTTTTAATCAGCACCGCACGCGCTTCCTGAGGGTCAAAGTACTGCGGATCACCAAACTCGTCCTCAGTGACGAGTTTAAATCTAGTTGATGAATAGTCTTACGTATTCACTTTGTAGTACCAAAACATGAACTGGATTATGGGCTTAAATTACATTATTAATAATACTATAAACGATAAATTATTACCACTTTATTAGTAGGCTAGACATGCATGACTTGTGACCAACAGATTGCCGTAAAAATTGACTAGGTTTAGAAGGAAGTCAGGCTATAACACGTTAATGACTCATTAGGGTAATAGAATTATGACCCTAATGGCGCACCGAACATAATGCTGTTTACTGTATTATCGGCGGCCGAAATGATCGAACACCTGTAGGCCTGTGTATAATGATTATGTATACCACAACATTAAATAGATACATAAATTTGATTTTGATTATGAAAAACTCAGTTATAATATAAAAACCTCATAGTTCAATAATCGTGTTTGTTTCTTCTCATTTAGACGGTGCCAAGAACGGAAAGAAGAGAAAATCGAAGGAAAGTATGTTTTTTATTATAACAGTATTATTGAAAAATGTAATTATTTTAATGTTTAAATAGGCCTATATGTTTTCTTCATTCATATAAAGATATATTTTTCAACGACTTTTACATTAAGATTTTGCTAATATGGTTTGATAAATCATCTTAAGATATTTGCTTAGGGTCATTTTTTTTATTTTGACTTAAGACATTTGCTAACCTGAGATTGGTAAATCTCGTGCCAGGTCATTTTCAGCATTCCAAAACTTTCCATAATTTACGCGCCGTACGTTCATTTCCACGTGCACAGCACGCAATGAAGCTGGAAATTACGTTTTGTTACATATTTTGGGTTCCAGCATATCAGGAGTCAACTCTTTGTGCCATTACCGTGCTCACGGGCGTCAAGACGTGCGCGTACGCATGTGTAAATATTTTAAAATGCTCAAAATTACTCTTTTGTTAAAAACTAATTACAGCATATTTAGTATTTTAGTATAAAACTTTTTAATCAGCACCGCGCGCGCTTCCTGAGGGTCAAAGTACTGCGGATCACCAAACTCGTCCTCAGAGTGACGAGTTCAAGTCTAGTTGATAAATAGTCTTATGTATTCACTGTGTATGTACCAAAACATGAACTGGATTATGATAGGGGCCTAAATTACATGACTTTTAACCAACAAATTGCCGTAAAAATTGTTAATGACTCATTCATCATTCTATGACCCTAATGGCGCACCATACATAATGCTGTTTACTGTATTATCGGCGGCCGAAATGATCGAACACCTGTAGGCCTGTGTATAATGGCGGCCTATGTATGCCACAACATTAAATAGATACATAAATTTGATTTTAATTATGAAAAACTCAGTTATAATAATATAAAAACCTCATGGTTCAATAATCATCTTTGTTTCTCCTCATTTAGACGGTTTAAGAACGGAAAGAAGAGAAAATCGAAGGAAATTATGTTTTTTTATTATAACAGTATTATTGAAAAATGTAATTTGTTTAAATAGGCCTATATGTTTTTTTTTTCATTTATATAAAGCTATATTTTTCAATTAGCTAAGCATATGTGTTTTGTGATCTTTAGACTTTCTTCGTGTTCTAACGGTCTAAATAAATGGGAAAATAATTGTAATCTTGTATTAGTATTCATTATTTTTCTTTTTAAAAAAAATCTGTTGAATGTTTCATGTCACTTTTATATTTATAGTTTACCTTTGACCATCATATTTAAATTAATTTTAAATATTTAAACATTTGTTGGAATTATAAAGAAACATGAATAATAATAGCTAGTATTGTTTTTTTAAAACAACACCTTTTTTATATAACAGAGAAAGGAGATATATAATACTGGAGCAAAAAAAATGTCAAGTACCAGCGGTCTCTGTCTGATATGGATAACAATTTTTGAAATATTGAATAGATGCAAGCTTCCAGAATTGAATAAGAGCCAATAAAGTATATACAGATAGTGAATAAATAAATATTAGTATATTTAAGAGCAAATAAAGTATATTCAGACATTGAATTAATAAATATTAGTATATTTACAAACAACACACTCCATTCTTGCTATCTGTAGTATAGTTCTCGATTACAGGCACTTTCAGGAAATCTATAAAATATTATAGTTTTTTACGAGTATTTTTTCTTAAATGTAAAACTTACCTCACATTTTTTATATAGAAACCGTTTGAATCATCGGGTTTTGAAACGGATTTCAATGTCGTAATGAGCACAAAATATACTTTCGAATCGTTTGAAATACTTTTCCATGAAAGCTAAATATATGCTCATGCTTTTATTAGACGTTAATTGTTTGTTCGATGATTTCCAAACTCCTCTCAGCTCACTTCAGACTGTATTTCATCCATATGCCTCCTTGCTTTTGTCCTTATCTGTTATTGTTTTAGCTTTATGTGAGAGACTATTATAATTATTCTCCCTTTAGCCTTTAAATATTATATATGTTTTTAAGTAGATTTAGCCCATAGATATAATTGTGGTAGAGTATGGGTGTATAAGGTTCTACGTAATATCCAAGAATTTACACCACACAGACATAACATAGGTATCAGATTGTCTTTACTGTACTATACCAAATATCTGTGGTTTGGACAAGAAGGGACTTCTGTTAACATCGCTGCAAGTTTAACACATATTCAGCACTACTACAGCAATTGTATACAGTATTATATTAATATTTACCACTTTTTATTTTGCTCTGCTGATTTGGTAACTTAACTGCAAGTAAACTTCGCTTATTATATATTAGTTGAGTTATGATTTTAATCGATATACTGTTTAAAGTGTCTTAGGAATTAAATATTGCTGATGTTGAAATAGTACTGGTACTAATTTTGATAACCCACAATGGGGAAATATTATGTTATGTAGATTACAGAAGTGATCCAAGCCTTACCTACTGAACATCGAAATAGGATCTTTTATAATTATTGCTCATTTTTTAAAATAATTTGCAGGGAGCCTGAGCACCTGTTTAATGTTGTGTTTAATGGTGAAACTGTGTTTTGCGTCTCATTATATTTTCCGTTAATAATAGTTAAATAATAGTAAATAATAAATATTGGAAGTGGTTGGCGCATCGGTGGCTTGGACTCTCTCTGTGCAAGTCGCTTGTGCCTTGTGCAAGACACTTCATCTACAGTTGTCTCTCTCCACCAAGGAGTACAAGTGGGTACCTGGTAGGTTCAAACACACCCATGCGCTGATTACAGCTGCAACATAATGGGGCATGAGTGTTGTTCCATGTGCTTGATCCAGTGACCGGGGGTAATAATGTAAAGCGATATAGAGATACAATATCGCTATATAAGTCGACAATTATTATTATTATTAAGTGCTAATAACGCTAAGTCAAAATACATAGAGGTACTGGATACAATTATTATATAGACTAGAAATTGCAAATTGCAAGTGAAGTGCTGCGAAGTACAACTGCACAAAATTTTCTTCGAACAAAATTATTTATGCGAGTCAAGTGAAAATAATGAATAATAAAAATATAACAAATAATATGAGCACGACCCATTGTCTATATTATATTAGAACAGCGTTGGTACCGTGTACAATAGTGTTTTGCTGCAGTGACATCTCGCTGCTGCTGCTGGCGATGACTCGCTGCTGGCGAATCGATCTGCGCATGTGTATAAAATGGTATTTATTTCCGAAAACACTATGCCAGTCTACAACAAGCGTCGCCTAAATGTAATAATTAGCACGTTGAAATAGGCTAGTAAATAAGTTTAACTGGGTTCGTAAGTAATATTGGCCTCAAAATATTGTGGCTGAGACATGAGCCGATTAAACGTAGAAATAGGAAACCTAGAAATATAGTACAAACGCTGAATAGTACTCCAGCGTCGCGACATGCCGACGTTGGTACGAGTAGGTTAGTCTACAAACGTCGCCTAAAGTATTTTGATTTTACCCGGCAGAACAAAAGAAGGAAACTCCGCTTTTCAATTGTCATAGGCGCAGGTTTTTTGACAAACAATGACCTTTCAGAGGTCAAATTGCTGTTAAGAATATGAATTGGCTGCTTCGCAGCAATAACCCTACTCAATTCAATATCTGCTCAAACGCATATGTAACTTTGAAATAAATTTCGTTCTTTGTTTACGGAAAATAAACATCAGTTTCGTTGTAGTCATTTCAGTCTAATTGCTTCCTATTATATATTTCAGTTATTTCATAAACACCCGACGAACAATTGCAGGTCATACTCTTTTTAAAAATTATACTCCAAGTATTGAAATACACGTCATCGTGTTGGGATTCAAACGCTAAGTCAGAATACATAGAAGGATGTATCTCAACAGGATATTTCAATACTTGGAGTATGTATTATACTTTCGGGGGTTGCTTGGTGGCCATTTTGGCGGCCATTTTGGATTTTCAAAGAAAAACATTAATTTTTATAATTCATTGACTAAAAATTATTTAAAAAATCAAATAAACTTCTAAATGTATATGGTAAGCAGTGTTTATTTTCTTAATACAAAAAGATTTACTTTTTACATTTGACGGCTATATTTAACACAACAACTTGGAGTATGTATTATACTTTCTTATCTGAGATTAAAAATTATATTTATTGCTTTTGTTTGATTTACAGACTTTGATTTTGTTTGGTCTCTTTGAATCTCTATTGTGTTGGTTTAAGTCTCTTTGTATTGTTTAACATTAAGTTCAACATTTTATTACAAATGGCATGCTTAAAACTTGAGAATGTTGGACAAAATGGCCTTTGTAAAAATGGCACCTGTAAAAGTAACCCGGTAAGAATGGCCCCGGTAAAAATGGCCCCAAATGACAGATATAGTTAAAAATTAAAAGAAATTATTTTTTTTATATCTTCAAACATTTAACTACTGTAAACTACTGTAAAATAGCAAGAATTCATCAATAAATTTAAAAAAATGGTCCCAAACTTTAAAATTCATTATTTTATATTTCACTATTTTAATGCTGTAAAATAGCAACAAAAAAAAAAAAAGAATTAATAAATGAGTATGATAAAATTCAGTAATGATGTTTTTAAAATTTTCAGACTTTTTAAATGAACTAGCAAAAATTGAATTAATAAATCAAAATACACCATATGCATATTTGAAAACTAATTTAACTTAGTTTTGGGTTTTTTTTCTTCCAGACGGGGGTTGGGGGAACTCTTTACCTGGCGCCACCCCTGGTATACTGTAAAAAAAACTCACATCGGTAAAATCATGAAAACTTAAACACTAGTATATTTTCCATTAGATCAAACTAGATTCAAACACTGTTAATGTCTTTTTATTTAATTTTTTTGAAAAATAAAGCACTAGGGGTTCCTGAAACTTGGAACTCACGGGAACAATGTGCAATGTTGCTGATGAATTTCCTATATGAGAGGACAGAATGATACTACCTTACCCAATGAGGACTGAACAAGAGCTAGACGTGTTTTCGACAATGCGTTTGGCATACCAAGGGTTTCTTTATTACCAAGCGATAAAAACGAAAGAAGTCATTCAACAAGTTAGTAGGGTAGGAACAGGGGGTTCCGATGCACCCCCAGAACATTTTTGTAATCCTCAAAGTGTCTCATAAAAGAATTTTGATGTTCCCATTAAAAAAAAGTCCCAGGGGGTTGCTTGGTGGCCATTTTGGCGGCCATTTTGGATTTTCAAAGAAAAACATTAATTTTTATAATTCATTGACTAAAAATTATTTAAAAAATCAAATAAACTTCTAAATGTATATGGTAAGCAGTGTTTATTTTCTTAATACAAAAAGATTTACTTTTTACATTTGACGGCTATATTGACGGCCATCTTGGATTTTAAATGAAAATCATTCATTGTATATTTTAGTAACTAAAAATCATATTAAATCAAGTGAACCACAGTAAGCAGTATTTATGCTCCAAATACAAAACACGACTTTCCAAAACATTTGGCGGCCATACCGGCAGCCATTTTGGTGTCCATCTTGGATTTTCATAAAAATCAGTAATTTCTATAATTTATTAACTAAAAATCATTAAAAAAAAATCAAGTGAACATCTTAATGTATAATATAGTAAGCAATGTTTAAGTTCTCAATACATTTGGCGGCAATATTGGTGGCCATCTTGGATTAAAAAAATCATGTATACCGTATTTTATTAACTAAAATCTCATAAAATCAAATGTATACAGAAGCATTGTTTTATATTCTAAATACAACACATTGACTTAGCAATACATTTGGCGGCCATTTTGCCGGCCATTTTGAATGTTAAATGAAAATTGAACATTTGACCTATATATCATACAAAAAATGTAACAAATGTTTTTAGAGTAATGTTGTCATTAGGAATTGATTGAGAGTACAGTACACTACCCTCTCCTCCAAGTCATTTTTGTATGACCGGAAAGAAATGCAGGAAAAGAAAGAAAGAAGAGAAGAATGGAAAAGAGAATGTTTATCCAGTCCCCAACCGAATTCTCGCAATTCACATTGGTGGACCAGGGGGAGGGGGTTCATTGGTCCTGACCCCTCCCTTGTGCTACAAAAAAAAATAATTCTTGACCTACCTACCTTTTCTTTTCAGGACCCGTGAGCTGATTTTTTTTTTTTTTTACAATAAGAAAATTAGAATTTTGAAGAACATAAAGTCATTAAAACACACTTCATTTCTCGCCATCCAGGAATCAAAATCTTCCTTGGGGAAAACCCTTGGCCCACCCTTTCTTTTTGGAATTTATCGAGTCATAGAAAAAAGGATACGCATGCAGCTACTCATTTATTTATGTATGTATACACACATAAAATAAAAAGTGAGAAAAATTTACCTGACCGTTTTAAAGCGAGGAAAACCTTGAATTTTGAAGAACTTAAAATGTCATTTAAAAGACATTTTAGAAGTCCGGAAAGCTCATTTCCCACATTCTAGAAATCGAAGTTTTCCCAGGGGAACCCAGACCAATTTTTCTTTGGGGTTCATTGATTCATTGAATCATTTTCGATAGGGGAAAATCTTGAATTTTGAAGAACTTAAAAGTAATTAAGACACCTTAGAAGCCGAAAAGACTAATTTCCCGCCATCTAGAAATCAACATTTTCCAAGGGGAGAACCTCCGAACACCCTTTATTTTCAGGGATGGTGCCAGGGTTTGCCTGACGGGGGGGTTTTCAGGGATAGCGCCAGGGTTTGCCCTGACGGGGGGGGGGGGGTCCAACACCCACGACGAAGGGTCAGATTTCCCCGACAAAAGCAAAGTGGGCGTGGTCGAGCTTCGATTAAATGCTTCGAAAGTGCTCCAAGGGGAGAAGCCCCGAACATTTTGAAAATTTAGGGGTTTCAAAGGCTTATTTAATCAACTTTAAAGTCTACTAATATGAAGAAAATACACATTTTTTTTCTCCCCGACGAATTGTGTTTTCTCTCTCCGACGGGAGTGGTTGGGGGCGAGGCGGCTCTCCCCGATGGAGTGGGGGGAGGGGAACTGGCACCGGTGGCGCCACCCCTGCTTATTTTTCTTTGGAGCTTATCGATTCATTGAAAAAAGAATACTTATGCAACTACTACATAACAGGCCTATTTACTGTAAAAAGAATGACGAGAAAGGTCATTTCAAGCCATTTAGAAATCAAAAAGAAATCACAATTTTGCCAGAGGAGGACCCCCGGATCCCCTTTCCTTTTTGAAAAAAATGTTGACCCCCAAACATTTGGTTTGATTCCAGCATGATTCATGCATGCATGATTCATATTTCCATTCATTTTAGTGCCCCACCCCCATCCACTTTGAAAAATTATGTTCCGCAGTCCCTGCCATCCATATTGAGTTCTGACGGGCCTTAGATAGCTAACCTGAAAGAACAATAAACCTATGTTGTTATAAGAACGTTTTAAATGAGAATATCGGGACAATGTGAACACAAGCTGAATAATATCTGCATTTGGGTTTATTTTTGTCACTGTTCTGGTTGTTGTTAGATTATGATTTTATTGTCATTCGTAAATTGGACATATATTTATTCTCATGCAAATTATATCTATTTTTGTTGTTTCATTTATCTCAATTCGGTGGTAAGACGGCCATGTAGAGGTGCTTGT